GGGGGGCAAGCCCATGGCGCAAGGCGGCGCCCTGGGCCGGTCAGCAATGCTCAAAGCCCAGGGTGAGAGCGTACCAGGCGCTTTTCCCGGGTGTTCTGATTGGCAGGTGCCCGGCCGCGGGGAGGCTGCTGGTGAGGGCGGTAGGGCTGTTGCCGATGATGGAGATGTTGATGATGATGATGATGGTGGCGCGGGAAGGACGGCGGGGGCGGCTGCTGCTGCTGGTGGTGGGGGTGGTGGAAGTGGGGAGGGTGCTGCGGATACTGGGGCGGATGATGGCCCGAGGAGTACGACCAGTGGTGGCTGCCTTGGTGCGGAGGGAATGGAGGGTGCTGTGGGGCATGAGACGACAGGGCTGGCTGCTGCGAGTGCGAGGAATGCTGCTGCTGCTGCTGCGGCGGCTGCTGCTGCTGCCTCGGCTGCTGCTGGGAGTGATGGTGGTGGTGGCGAAAACCGCCCCCGGGATGGGTGTCCCGGGGCGAAGGATTGCCGTCGCCCATGGGTGCGTGTGATAGAAAGCAAGGGGAAGAGGGGGAGGGGAGGGAAGGATAGATGCTAAGAGGAAACCCTTGCCGGTCACGGCGGCCAGGCCGGCTCCACATCACCCCCTCGCGGATCGTGGGCCCTTCGGGCGGGGAGACAGGCCCCGCTCCTGCCGGCGCCACGCCCGACATCCCTCCCCCTCGCCGCCCCCCTCTCCCCTCGGCCCACGGGCAGACGGGCAGACGGGCAGACGGGCCGGGCAACACACGCGCGCATCGAGCCCCGCGCAGTTGGGGAACTGCCAACGATGGCGCAGGGGGGCCTTCGCCGGCTCGCGATCGAGTGCCGCACGAAAGCACCCCAAGAGCCGCGCCCCCCGAGGGGGGGGGCACCTGGGCGACCGGAGCCCCAGCCATGCCACATTGCTCTGCCCTCCTCTGCCCTCCTCTGCCCCCGTCCCCCCCCCCCCCCCCCCCTCCTCTCCTGCTTTGCCCGCCACCTTCTGGCCTGCCAAGTGCTCCGGCCACTCTCCCCCCTTGTGCCTTGTCTGCCCGGCCGCGGGTCCATTGGATTTGCATCCACCACACGAGGGATGCCCCCTCGTACGCGCCCGGCGGCCGATGCGATGCCCCCAGCCAAGCGTCCGGCCCCGGACATTGAGCCAGTCTCCCCGCTGGTGGTTGAGCCGCTGATGTACTTCCTCCAGGCAGCCCTGAAAGAGGTGCCGGCCTTGATGGTGGCCGGAGAGCCTGCGACCGTCGGCGGCCGGCGCCCGCTGCGCCTTGCACATCTTGGTTGCGGCAGTGGCCGGCTGACGCAGCACCTTGCCCGGCTGGCGATCCCGGGTGCTCGGGACTTCGGCCCGGGACTGGTGCATGTCATCGGGGTTGACCATGATCTGGCCAAGATTCGCCATGCCCGGCTGGTGGCCCGGGCCAGCGCCTCCCTCTGCTCGCCGGGCGCCCTGCCGGTGGTCGACTCCGAGGGGCAAATGCCCCAAGGGTCGGCCGGGCCGGAGAGCTACTTCCCGATGTCGCTGCCGGGGGCCGGCGGCTTCCTGCCCCTGCCACTGCCGGTGTTCGGGGAGAACATCCGGCCAGTTGCCAGCAGCCCCGGTGGAGGCCACCTCGCACGCTGGCTCCGGTCCAGCCGCCAGCACAATGCCCCGGTTGACGTGCGCCAGGGCGAGCGTCTGGAAGCCGCCGCCCTGGATGCCCGGCGCCGAATGCTGGCGCTTGGCGACCCGCTGCCGGTGGCCGATGCGGCGGCCGCCTTGAAAAATGCCCCTCCGGCGGACTTGCCACTGCAGGAGGAGCAGGGCCCTCGCCTTGATCGACTCCGGTGGCCTTTCAATGTGGCTCTTCTGTGTGCGGACCTTTTGGCATCCGGGGCTGATGACACCCCGCTGGACGATGTCCATCCTTCCCTGGGGGAGGTCCTCCACCCGGGCACCTTCGACGTGGTGTATTGGTATGTATCCCGGGTTTCCCGCCCCCCCCCGCCCCCCCCCCCCGCCTCCTCCCGCCCCCTTCGCCCGCCGTGCCTGGGATCCCATGCTGACTGGCCTCCGAAACATAGCTCGAGCCTCCTGCGAGCCGCCCTGCAAAATGGCGAGCACGCCCTCCGAGCAGTGGTCGACCTGGCTGTGGCCTTGCTGGACCCGGCGCTTGGCGGGGCGATCATCCTGCACGTGCCGGCAGCCAGGAAGCGCCGCGGCGGCGTCCCCTTCGATGAGGTACACCCATGTGACACATATGCTTCGCCCCTTGATGGCGGATCTCGCGACTGACCGGCCAACTGGCTGACCCCGATGGATCTGTAGGCCGGCCGGAGTCGGCTACATGCTCTTCTTTCTGACCGCGTCGCGGCGCTCTGCCAAGCTGACGATCGGCTCCGGAGCGCCGTGATTCCTTTCAACACTCCCAAGGGTGCGCCTGCCTCCCGGGGGCGGGGGCCTGCCTCTCATTCCCCAAAATGCCCCGACACGTGCGCGAATGTGTCCATGCACGCAGAAGACACTGACACAGAGCCACCCCTGCCCCGTAACCCTGTCGATCTGGCCGAAAGAGCGCGGGATCATCCTTCATCGCCTGCCGGCGCCCGCAAATACCGATCAAGGGAAATAGACGGCCCCGCTTGCCAGCCGGGAAATGCCTCCCCCGCCTTCACGAAAACCGAGGGGGGGGGGACGAGGAAAATAGGGCAGGGGAAAGTGGGGATCTACATTGGCCCACGCCCGCGGCCTCTAGAATGGCCAGCTTGGCGAGGGAGGGAGGGAGGGAAGGGAGGGGGGAATAGGAGGAGAGACAAAAATGTGGGCCTTCAGTATAGGCCGAAGGCCTCGGCAATGGGTCGCATCTGGGCTGCATCCGAGCGGACCTCCTTCAAGCGCGCCTCGATCAGGGCATTGCGCTCGATGGTGGTCATGCCGACAAAGGCCAGCGGATACTCGCCGGTGGCGGCAGCAAGCTCGGCCCGGCCCGCCTCGCGGTCCTGCTGAATGGTGACCGCCTGCTGGCTGGAGGGGATGGCCCCGGACCGGACCAGCTGCCCCTCGCAGATGTGCTTCAGGCTCCGGGCCAGGCGCATCTCCCGGTACATGGTGTCCATGAGATTGAGGCCGGCGGCGACCGACCCGCCGACGACCCCGGAAAAGATCACTCGCCGGAAGAGGGTGGCCGAGGAGGTCAGCTGCCGGGTGATGATCGGCGTGCAGAGGACTCCCACGGCCACGCCTGATGGTCGGCGCGGGAGAGCGGGCCAGCAGGAGAAGGAGGCGAGGAGAGGGTTAGCCGGTCCCCAGGGGCGCGGGGGGGGGAATCAAAAAGAGAGGGAAAAGAGGCCATTTATAACACGGCAAAGGGGGCATGGGGGCGCACCGAGCCCGGAGATCAGATCGCCACGCCGCCGGCGAAGGGACTCGTAGCGGGCCAGGCAGGCCGACCGGACGGAAGCCAGCCGCGCGGCCGGGCTCTCGATGGACCAGGTGGACAGCCACTGGCTGGCCAGCACCGCCAGCGGCAGGACCGCCTGAGGGAGACAGATGCCCCGGGGAGGTGGAGGGGAGGGGGGCGGGCGGGGGACAAGGCAGGGCGAGCGAGGGAAGGCCCCGGCGAGGGGCCGAAGAATGGGTGAGAATTGCATGCAACGAGGGAGTGCCCAAGCATGGCACAGCCCACAGTGTCTCGAGGGCCCGGCATTCGGGCGACAAGGTGGCAAGCTGGCGTACGCACCGGGACCAGCGTGCATGACTGCAACATGGCTTGCAGGCTCGTCGTGCCGGCTGAGCGCCAGAAGCGCGAGTTGTACGACAGCACGAGCACCGGCAGCAAGCATGCCGTGAAAGTGGAGAAGGTCTGGAAGTTGGACTTGGTGTAGAACCACAGGTCCTGCGAGATGGGCATGCTCACGTCCGCCGCTCGGAACCCCCGGTCCAGCGGGACCATGCCCAAAGTCACGCGCGGGTCACGGAAGAACCCGAGCTTCTTGCCGTCGGTCCGGGGGCCCGGCGGGGAGGCGACGCTGGTGGCGGTGCCCGCGACGCCGGGCCGCCCGGCGTCGGTCATGGCGGCCGGCGTGGCGGCCGCCGCGGTGGAATCCTGCTCGCTGGCAGACATGGCAGACGGGGCGATAGTAAGCCGAGGTGGGGAAGGGGCGGGGGAGGGGGGGGGGGGGGGGGGGGGGGGGGGGGGGGGGGGGGGGGGGGGGGGGGGGGGGGGGGGGGGGGGGGGGGGGGGGGGGGGGGGGGGGGGGGGGGGGGGGGGGGGGGGGGGGGGGGCGAGGGGCAAAGCACAGTGGTGAGAAACGCCGGAGGCAGGAACCCCGCGGGTCATGGAGCAGAGATGGAGGGAGGTGGATGCGCACGAGAAATCCAACGTCGCAATCGGCTTCGAGTAGTACCCGCGCTCCGGCTCGATGACGGTGGCACCCTCGTACTGCTCGTCGGCGCCGCTGCCACCCACACGCAGAGTGGGGATGAGGAAGTCCCGCTCGAGGGACTTGCGGAAGAGCTGCGACACGACCTTGATCTGCTGGCCACGCGTGAGCAGGTATGTGAACGGGACGCCGGTCACACGGGCCATCTCCACGAAGTTGAAGACACACATCAGCTTCTCCATCAGCCGCATGGGCAGGTCCGAATCCTTGAGACAGTAGACGGCCAGGCGCCGGCGGGTTTCGGAGTTGCCGTTCTGCAAGTCCGAGATGATCGAGTGATGGACATCCTCCTTCTGCTCGCCCAGGAACTCGATGGACACGGAGTTCAGCGAGTATGACCGGAGCTTGTACTCGCGCTGGATCACCTGCAGCATGTCGAACTGAGTGCGGCCCTCGATGGCTATTGATGCCGGCCAGAGGAAAGTGGGGAGGGGCGAGGGGCGGGGGAGGGGCGGGGGAGGGGGGACGAAGCAGCAGAGGCAGGGGGGAGAAGGGGAGGACGTGGCGCGAGATGTCCCCAGATGTGTGCCGGCACCCATCACGACGGATGCCCTTCTACGGCGGCCGCCGCCGCCGCCGCCTTGCTCCGAGGTGCCGGGGCCCCAGGGCCGGGGGTGGGCTCAAACATGCTCGGGACACCGCGCGTTGGCATCTGCCAATGCTGACCCCGATCACTGTCCCGCTGTATTCCACCCCAGCCGCGTTCCGTGTTCCCGCGGCTCTGGAGGCGCACTTGGCCGGACGCGACGGGAGATCCGCACCCCCCCCCCCCCCCTCCCCGTCCGCTGGACTGGACGGGGCGGACCAGGGGCGCCCGGGCAAATGTGAAATGCCCAGAAGAGGTGGCCATCAAACAGCCCGCTGGACAGACACCGAATCGGCATCCCTGTCCTGCTCTCTCTCAATCTTTTCCCCCTTCCTCCCTTTCCCCACCATGTGTACGTCCCCCCCCCCACACACACACGCACGCACACACGCACGCATACACCTTGCCACCACGCTATCGGCACCATGGTCGGCAGGCCGGAGCCTCCGAAGCCCGAGCTGGCGGCCTCCTCGCCGCTCGGGCCCTCGTCTAGCATGTCCCTTGCAGCTCGGAAGACCCGCCTGCTGCAGCAAATTCACACGGCCAAGGCCGACATTGCCCAACTGGAAGGGATTCTGGCGGATGCGGTCGCTGCGCGAGCGCGCGACGCGGCCATCCTCTCCGGCGATGGGGCCCTTCCCTTGGCGGCGCTGACGGCCGATGCCAATCGGCTGCGGCAGATCGATCGCGCTCTCGGCGAGCCGGACGGCCACCCCGGCCCGGCGCTGGCGCAGATTTGGTATGACCTCCTCTCTCTCTCCCTCTCGCTGGACTCTCCTTGCAGGCCGGTCCTCTGATCCCCCCCCCCCCCCCCTGGCCAAGCTCCTCCCTGCTGGACGTTTCGACCCGGAATTTCCTCCGCGACACGGTGCAACCGCGTGGCGAGGCACCACACCTGGACACCGGGTCCGCCCGGCGGACCATCGTCTCCCTGTCGACCGGCCGGCCAGTGGAGCCTGTTGCCTCGCCACGCGATCGCGAGTCCATTTCCACCATCGAGAATGAGGTCCGTCGGCCGGGCCCCTGGCCGGAGGCCCCCTTGTGGGGCTGGCGTTTGGATTTCGCCGAAAGGCCCCGGGCGCGCCCGGGCCCCTTCGCCTGAAAGCCGAGGCGACATTCCCCTCTCCCTCTTCTTCCTTTTTTTTGCGAGCACGCACTCACATGGTCCGGCGCGGTCCAGCTCTACGCTTTGGAGGCAATCAATGACTTCAAGATCGAAAACATCACATACCAGCCCCTGGCGCCGGATGAGAGCGCCCATCTTGCGCGCGAGTATGTGCGCGCCGGTCGGCCCCCCGGCGATCCGGCCGCCGACGGGTGGATCGCGTCCACGCTCTTTGTCAGCGCGCACGGGGCGCGCATGCAGGCACAACTTCTCCTGCCGCCGGCCGACCCATCAGCCGACGAGGCCGGCCCCCCGGTCCCGCCAGCCGCCGGGGTGCACCTGTATGATGTCCTGCTGAGCCCGGGGGTGGCCTCGGAGGCGGAGCCCTTTTTCCGGGCCCTGACGCGCCTTGGAGGCCGGAGCCCCGACGGGCTGGACCTGGCACGGCTGGTTCTTCGGACCTTTGCCCGGGTGGCACGGCTGGCTGCGACCCGGGCACACATCTTTGCCTGCCTCAATCGCTGGGTCCGGGACCCCGGGCGGCCGGTGGACTTTGCCACCGCCCCGCCAGCATCCCTGGCCATGGACCCCCACGCGCAGATGGTCATCCTGCCGGCCGTCGGTGGCCGCGTCGGCCTGCAGCTTACCTGGGAGATTGGCCCGCCGCGGGCCTCGGCCGAGGCCCAGCCCACGGCGGCCAGCGATCACGCCGACATCCGGGCCCTGGTTGAGCGGGCTCTCGGGCCTGTGGCCGCCGCGCCCCCGTGGGTCTTGGCCGCCGACGTTCGTTGCCGGATATACATGACCTGTGTGACCGGCCGCAGTGGTGCGTATATGGGCCCTCCCCTTCCCTCCTCCTCGCCTTTGGGGCCTTCCGCTTGTCCCCCCTCATTTGGCCTGCACACTTGGTCAGCCAGACAGACATCCATGCGCTGTGGGATGAGCTTATTTCATACAAATATGCCCCCATGTGCATGCTCATGCTCACGCATGCTCACGCACTCACCGATACACATACATACCCATGCGCCTTCACGCACGCACGCACGCACGCACATGCCCCGACCCATGGTGGTAGAGGCCCAAACGCCGGACAGTACTTTGGTCCGGCGCGATGCCGAGGCCCTGGCCCAGACGCTGGTCCGGGAATTCGATCGCCTGGTGCGCGTTGCCGGCTTGACCGGGGCCCTGACCATGATCACTCGGCACCTGTCGCCACGATCCACTTGACGCCGGCGCCCTTGGCCATGCATCCGGGGCTAGATGCGGCTACATGTGTGTATGCCCGTGTGAGCCGATGCGTAAAGGGCCGGGCGGCATGCGCCGGAAAGCAGGCACGAAAAACAATGGACTTGAAGCCCTCCGAAATGCGAGTGTCATGGGGGGGGGTGTATTTTTCTATGCAACAGCGACGCGGTTCGTGCAGGCGACAGTCCCGGAGGTCGACGGAGAGAAGGGGGAGGCAGAGGCAAGGAGGCTTGCGCATGAGCGCCAGGACGCCCGGGCGGTTTGGGGGGGGGGGGCGGAGAAAAAGGAAAAAAGAAAGAAAGGGGGTAGTGTACAACCAGCCCCCGGGCAGTGTATTCGCCGGGAGCAGATGGGCCACGCCGGACGCCAAGGTGTGCCTCTGCCGCGAGGGCCCCATCAAGGACCGAGGAAGGGCAGAAAGCATGCGGCTCTAGACCAGCCGCGCGGCGATGTCCCGGATCATTTGGAAGTGCGAGCGAGGCTCGATGGCCGCCAGACCGGCCCACGGGCCAGCCGAGGAGGGGACGGAGGAGGAGGAGGATGCCCCGGGGTCGCTGGTGGCCGGCCCTTGCCCCGGGCCGAGGGACGCACTGGACGACGAGGCCGACGGGCCGCTGAGGGTGGCAGATGAAGAGGGCCCCGGGGCCGCATGGCCGACCATGCGCTGGTATTGGCGCTCGGCCGCGCGCCACTCGGCCATCATGGAGTGGGTGACGACAAAGGCATCCTCGAGGGACTTCTCGCGCGAGCCATCGTGTGTTTGCCCCGAGGCCAGGGACGCCTCATCGAAGCCCAGCCCATCGAAGATGTCGGCCTCGTCCTCGTCGGTTGAGTCCTCCTCGCCGGCCCCCTCGTCGTCGGCCTCGGTGTCGGAGATGCGCGAGGCTGACCGGGCCGCCGATACCCGAACCCACCGCATGGACACCGGGTCGAAAACCATGCGGCCGACGACGTGCGGGCCATTGCTGCTTGGGGCCGGGAGCCGCGAGATCAGCCCCAGTCGGGGGGGGCCGCCGGTTGAGGGAGGGGTCGCACTATTGTGCAGTCCAGCCGAGGGGGACGAGTCCTGAGGTTCGAGGGAGGGAGGGGGCAGAGCAGGAGGGAGAGAGGGTAAGAGTTAGCGCAGGCTCAAAAGGGAGATGCCCAGCCTACCGAGGAAGATGAAGGGCAGGAGGGGACGCAGGAGAAGGAGAGGTCGGGTGGGGGGCGGGGGGGGGGGGGAATGTGCGGGGTATGTACCATGCTTCGCCGGCCGAAGTTGTCCTCATCAGAGGAGATATCTGAGAAACCGTCAATCATGTCCAGCTCATTGCCGGTTGCCTGGAAAAGGGGCCCAGGGCGAGCCATGCTGAAGAGGCTGCCCGGACGCCCGGGCCCGGGAGCAGAGAGTTGACGAACGGGCGTGTTGATCCCCGTGGCCGTGGCATCGGCACTGAGGGCGCGCGATCCGGCCGGGGTGCCGGCCTACACACGACAGGCGGGCAGGTGTGGGCGAGACATGCCAGAAGTGGGTGGGTTAGGAAATGATCGAGGCAGAGGGCGGAGGGGGGGAGGGGGGGGGG